CTGGCCCTGCTCCTCTGATGCTGTGTGACTCTGGGTGAAGTGATGCACCTCTCTGTGCCTCTCTTCTATACAATGGGAACGACAAGCACTCAGCCCGGCCTCCATGAGGGCACGTGCTCCAGCCCAGCACCGCTATGACCCAGCCCCTACCTTGGCACCTGTGCCAGCTGCCGCCAGGGCAGTGGCGCTGAAGTCGTGGACGGGCAGCGTGCTGAGCCACTGGGCCATGGAGCGCTCGTCCCGCTCGGTGCTGACGATGGTGGGGTAGATGTGCTCCTCCTTGAAGGCCGCGACCTTGCCCTCCTCCTGCGCCCAGTCCAGGGGCTCGTGCAGCCCGTCGTTGCCAAAGCGCTGGTTGTACTTCTCGAAGTGCACCCTCTCCAGCACCAGCCCCAGCCCCGGCGCCTTGGGCACGTCCACCTTCTCCTCGCCCCAGCTGCGCTCCAGCACGCTCTCGGGCGCGTAGCCCTTCACGATGGCCACCACCAGGCCGACCATCTTCCGGATCTGGTGCGTCATGAAGCTCTGGCCCTTCACCTTGATCACGGCGAACTCCAGGCCCTCCCGCACGAAGGGCTCCTCGCAGAGCATCTCCAGGATGTAGCGCCGCGCGCTGGGCTCCCGCGGCCCCTTCTGCGAGGTGAAGTTGTGGAAGTTGTGGGTGCCCTTGTAGCAGGCCAGGAGCCTGTTGACCTGCTGCAGCGTCTCGGGGCTCAGGCGGTAGGTCTCGTCCTGCACGTCCCGGTCCTTGTGGGCAAAGGCAAACGTGGGCAGCATGTAGCAGTACGTCCTGGCGTCACACTTGTTCTTGGAGTTGAACCCGCCCGTGACCCTCTTCAGTCCTGGGCAGAGGCGGGAACGAGAAGGCAGGCAGGTGAGCAGGGGCGCGCGAGGACGGCCCCTCCCCACCCAGGGAGGCACGAAGCCCTGGAGCGGACTTCTGGGGAGGAGGGCTGGCCAAGCTGGCGAGCAGGTACGGAAGCGCGGCTCGGCGGCGGGAGGAGCTCCAGGGCTCTGTAGTGTTAGGGGCGGCTGTAATTAACAATTTATTGTGTATTTTCAAGTAGCCAGAATAGAGGATTTTAAATGTTTCCAACAGAAAGAAATAATAAATGTCTGCGTGACGGGTACGCTGATGACCCTGACCTGATCACTACACGTGTGGAAATTCCTCGCCGTACCCCACAAATACGTACAGTTATGTGTCAATTAAAAATAATAATTAAAGCAAAACAAAAAGAAACATTGTTAAACAAAAAAGAATTGGACTTTTGTGCATTAAACTCTAAATCCACACGATGCTGGCCGGGCGCGGTGGCTCACGCCTGTAATCCTAGCTCTCTGGGAGGCCGAGGTGGGTGGATTGTTTGAGCTCAGGAGTTCGAGACCAGCCTGAGCAAGACCGAGACCCCTCTACTAAAAATAGAAAGAAATTAATCAGACAACTAAAAATATATAGAAAAAATTAGCCGGGCATG